CATTAGCTTTTTAAATACCAAATTCGTAACAATATTTTCTACTACTCAAATCTCATTAAAATAGTCTGGAAGAGTGTAACTAATAGAACAATAAATTCTGTCTGGAGATAATTATGGCCAGATTATATTTCGGGCTTTGACACTTGGGATATTTTTGTTATCTGTAAGGTGTCTCAACAAAAGCGCCGGACTTAATTTCCCCCCCCCAAATGCTTTATATTTAGAAAGAGGAATATATTTTTACATGCTTACAACAAATGAATGCGCTGATTTAAGAATCTCGAGTTTAATTTGACTTGGCAGAACCGGCAGCTTATCATTCGTAAGGTTGTATTTTAATTTTATAACAGTCATTTCAATTTTGAACCCTTTTCCTTTCAGTTCTTGTTTCCCACTTACAACTTCTTACCAGCATAAGGTTTTAGAATAGCGTTGAATGTAAATCAGGAAGTAATATTAAAAGGAAGTTCAACTTAATTTGGAAGAGTGCTTAGGTTACACTTAAATTCTAACTGTATGTTCTTTTCATTTTTAATGGCGATGTTCTCTTATTTGAAAGTACGTGGAATTAAATTAACAGCCCCGTAGTCAAGTTGTTTTTCCCGCCTTTTACACAACGTTTAGAAGATCTGGAAATATTTCAGCGAACGGATTGGCTGACTCATTTTGGAAGCTCGCCTTCCAGAGGCTAAAAGGACTCGCAAAAGATATCGGGGCTTTTTTTAAATACGTCAGTAACTTCATACAAAAATTAGTAATTCTTTATTACTCCGGATATCCGATTTTTGTAACTGCTATTTCCCTCCTTAATATAAATAAGGATCTGTTTTAAACTTATCGTCTGATAGTTAAGCTACGATACATTAGATTTCAGCATTCTATTTATTCCGGACAAAAGCTGGTACATCACAAGAAGTCGGCAGGATGGGTGTACCCAAAAGGAAAATAATTCCAATGGAATGCGCGCCGAGTGTGCTGACGATTACACCACGAAGTCATGCTGAGAAGGCGGTTGAAATACTTTATAAGGTTGTTAAATGATTAATGATTGCTAGTGATTAAATGTTTCTTTTAAATAAATGTAAGTATTCTTCTAACCTCGAATAATATTTGCGTGATTAAATGTTTGATGATTGTTTCAATAAAGGCAAATAGTCTTCAAGCTATGATTAATAGTTAGGTGATTAAATGATTAATGATTGCTAGTTATTAAATATTCCTCAATGTAAGTAGTTCTTTAGTGGCGCGCGTTCGCCTTCTGGCTATTTCATTTTTGAAGCTATTACTCTCAACCGTGTTGTACATGCCTGTTGATATTCGCAGACTAGTTTAAATTAAGAAACAACTACGTAGATATTTGTGCCTAGCATCGGCTAAGTCTATTTTAGTTAGTATGAGATTAGTTTCTTATTTTCTTACCCTGATTTAAAAGCCCGAGTGGAGGCTTTCCTGTAAGCCCGACAAGGGGCCAACTGTTGAGTGAATAAAAGGGTATTTTAACCCTTCTTGAGTCTACGTTGGAAAGTGTTTGAACTCAGCGCGCTACTCAGTTCATTATGTTTCACGACATTTTATCTGACGAAACGACAATTCGCAGAATGATAAAGAAATCTGTTAAGCAGGCGCGACGGCAGGCATTAAATCGTTACGATCCAGCTGGCCTGTTGAAAATTCTGCTGCAGTGGTTTACAATGTTACTGCAAATCCCCAAAATACATAAGACAAACAACAAAGAGAAAATTGAACATGTCATGAAAACAGGCATCTCTATGGGCAGATATATGAAAACCTAATTATGAATTTCATTGAGATACTGCAGTGTTGCAAAGCACGTCATAGAAAAAATTAATCTGCAATATTATATCACGAATAATAAAATGTGTGTAACACTCTTGATAAATTTGTAAAGACAAAGATTTTTTGACAATGCGATTAGGTAATCGATTTCATTATTTGGACGCCTCACATTTTGCTACAGAGGCTGTTTACACACTTTTTTAGACGAAGTATATTGTATTCACAAAACTAACTACATCAATTGTGTTTGAAATGTTCTATTTGACATCTTTCTGAACTACACGACACCGCATTTCCAGGATCTAATGCCTTTGAAGTGGCAAAGAATTCATCCCATTTTTCCTCCCGAAAGCTTCCAGAGTCCTGTTCGGGTTTGGGACAACCTTGATAATGCAGTTTTAAAAGCCGAAAGCACAAAAATCCATAGGTGACACATCAGGAGATTTAGTAGGGATATCATGAAGGGATTGCCTGATAACAGTCTTGTTCCATTTTTTTTGGAATTACAGTGGATTTTGAGTGTGACTGCAGGCTGTCCTGAAGAGTCTCACAGTGTATTTCTTCAGAAAAATTGGCGATAAAATGTCCTGATAGTATTTGGAGTTAATCTCATTTTTTGCACTCTCTTTTTTTAACTTGCATTATAAGAAAAACCAGCAACAATCACGTCCCTTAGAAAAACTTTCTTTCGATTCCTTGAACTATGTACTTGAATTTTTTCCTCCCCTTTTATGATAATAAATGGCTCTTTTTCTGTTACATTCCTTTAAATACACCCATGGTTCATCTATTGTGACAATTGTTTTCCATTTTTCTTTATAAGTTTTTCTCATATAGATTCTGCAGCGTGTCCTGCGTTTAGCGATGCTTGAAGAAGACATGCAAATTGAGTTTTTTTCGCTTTTTAAGATTTAAATCAACGTTTATATTTTATTATCATTTGATTTGCAACTGTCCTTTGCAAGGGATTTTCTTTTACGTTAAACAACGTAACTTTGCATAGTTGAAGATGGTACCGTTTTTTCCTGGATACTTATTGGATTTTTGGGTCCCACTTGAGTCTCCAATTTGAACTTTCTTTCTCCTTTCTTCTTGTTGTGATATACCTATAGACGCTTTAGATATCACACCCTGACTCTCACACACATCGTTTTTGGATACGGAGTATGCATATTTTTCTTCGGAAAGAGCGTAAATGAAAGCCTTCGAACCACTGATTTGTGAAATTCGCCATTTAATAAAAACAAATTTCATGCCACAGAGTATAATTTTTGCTTTTAAAAACATAGTACCCTTGCAAATTACTTTCTTTGCACAATGATCTTTATTACCGCTTACCAAAATCGTCTAAAAAAACTGTGCGAACAGCCGCTTATCCTGAGTTCAAATTGTAGATTATTGTTAAATGAATTTTTTAAAAATCGTTTTTCCCATTAAACTGTTAAATGATAAATTATTTTTCTACTTTTAGTTCATTAAATATTTATGATTCTTGAATAAAGGCTTTTTTTTGTACAAACTTCTTTTTTAAAATTTGCTTCTTATCTTTTTAATGCTTGCGTTCTTCTTATCTATCTTTTTAATTTTGGTTTTAATGCCACGTTATCGGTCCAACTGTAAACTGAAAAATATTTTTCAACAATGAATAATGACTCTTTTTTTTTCTACAATTCTGTCGCGGAAAAATATGAAAAAAAAAAAAAACCTAGCGGTTTGGACAATTATAACAAATACATCTTTGGACGAGAGAATTTTGAAGTTCCATAAAAGAATATACAGAGGGTGTTTTCATATTTTTAGAGCGATTTCGCGGCGGTTGAATAAATGTTTGAAATGCAAAGTATGTTTTTTTTAATATTTGATCTAATAGCCCTTTTTTGGGGCTATAAGTCTGCATCGCGATTTATTATTATAGAAGGGCTTTAATTATTGCAGAAGGGCGATTTATGATTATACAAGGCCGATTTATGATTATAGAAGGGCGCCTTTTGATTACAGAAGAGCGTTTTATGACTATAGAAGGGCGATGTATTATTATAGAAGGGTAAAAATTTCAGGGGTATTGATTTCCATTTTTTTTCACTATTTTTCAGAGTCCATCAGTAGTGGCTGGTTTGCGCTTAGAAAAAGCTCTTTTCAAGAAACACCAGTACAATAGTCCATATATGAAAGGTCAGGGGACTTTGCAAGAATACGTTGAAAATATATATATGCAATACCTGTATCAGTCTTCCTTTTCTTCAAATATTGCAATGGTACCTTTCGAAGTATGACTTGTTGCATTGTCTTGATGAAGTTTCACGCTTTGAAAGTCACTGGGATAAAAAAATAGAATTTCTTCTATAAAGGTGGGAAGCAAAATTTCTCTTAATATTCCGTTGAGTTGATTTTAAGATATTTTTCCCACTCTTCTTATTTTGAATTTTCCATTTTAAGGTAATTTTGCGTCAATCATAAACCCCAATCTGAAACTTTATTTGCATTCACGTAACCTAAATAGACCTTTCTCGTTGCAGTCATTTAGGTAAATCCATGCTGTATAATGAAAAAGGAATATATTTCCATTCAGCATCTGTTAAATAATTTTTATACAGGGCTCTGCAAACTGTCCTGCGTTGAGACACATGCCTTGTCAAAAGCTGTTGAACATTATGTTTTTTAGCTTTTTTAAGTTATAAATCTTAATTATTTTACTTATTGTTGTTCGAGATGTATTTCAAGACTTTGCAATTAACTTTTAGGTCGGCGAATTTTCTCTTGTTACCCGAAAAATTTAACTTTAGAAACATTAGAAACAGTACGTACCTTTTTCAGGTATTTGTCTGGAGTCTTCTTTTCATGTAGATAGTTTTTCCCTTATCCATTAATAATGTTGCTTATTTCGCATTTCGGAATACCATGAATTTTAGAACGTTTCCGAAATTTGGAATAGGAATATTTTTTCCCAGAAAGTGCAGAAGCATATCCTTCAACCCAAGCTAATTTATATGTGATATTTAAAAAAAAGAATAGATTTAAAAAGTATCAGACGATATTTCTCATTTCTGATAATAAGCTGTTGGCAGGAATTTCTATTGCAAAATATTGTTTTTTAAAAATTCTACATCGAAATCGTCTAAAAATGTGTGAACGTCTTCTATAACATTACGAACAGTAAAAATTAACTCTTAAAATGAAATGCTAAGAAAAACATTAAAAGTTATGAAATGAAAAAAAAAAATTAAAAATGACGCGGGAACATCATATCTTGAAATTATGTTTTCCGGCAATGCCGAGGAAAGAAGTGATATTTTCTCTTTCGTTTCACATTGTAGCATAACTTTTTATATAGAAAATCGCTAAATTTATACGTTTTTTACAACTGAGCGAAGAGTTTGTTTTTTAATCTGTGTAAAGCTCAAAATTTTGCAACCAATACAATTTTAAGTGCTAAAATTTTAAAATCGTAAACATCAAATTGTTGAAAAAAAAAATCGAATGATTTTCGACAATTTCCGGAAATATCGGATATGACATTATAAATTTTATAAAAATTTCCTTAAAAAATTTTTTTCCTGTATCTGATGCTGTAAATAGTGCATATTTAAAACTTTTTGTTTGTTTTTTAAATGAAGATATGTGCCAAAAATCATTTTAACATTAAATTAAAAAGTTTTAAATAGAATTTTGAAAAAAAAAATGCGCTTCACCACATTGCAGTGCTATCCACAAGTAGTATGTCTACAAAATTTGAAATCGGTAGCTCTACAGAGTTTTGTGTTCTTTGGTAGCTGGTATCTAAATTCCTAACAGACTTAGAGCGAATATCGTTATGTCTTAAGAGCCCACCAGCGGCCGAGCGGTAAAGTCGCTGAACACTGGTAGTTCGGTCCGAGGCGAATCCCCAACGGGCTGCTGCAGGGTTTTTTCGTTCTGTGTTTTCCCCATGTGTAACGTGTATACGAGCCAGTTTCCCTTAGAAAGTCCTCCACGAAGGCATCCCTCCCCTTAGGCAGATAGCCCTCGAGGCTTTGCCATAACTGAATAACCTAACCTAACGTTATGTCTTAAGATAACGACAAAGACTTAAAAAGGTTACAAATGACCTTTCCATTAAATAAGAACCTTGAAAATAAAGACCTCTTGTGGCAATGCAACTTAAAAGGACCAATCAAAGTCAAATTAAAACAATATCTATTAGCCAGAGATTACACAAAAGATTTAACGCGTAGTTGGCTCATGAATTTTAACCGGCGTAACAATTTAAATGGCGGTAATTGTAAGGCAAAACCGAAGAATACAATCTTATCTGAGCTAGCAGATATATAATAGCGTGGCATCAAGAGGCAGAAGAACGCTCTGTTTTCCAATCCCAAAACCTCAACTCAAATACTCTCGAGTTAATTTGCATTCTGGTAGGGGAAAGGAAAGGAGAAGTGACAGTAAAGATCTAAATTATAATAACTGACTAAATTAACATAAAGGAACCTTACACCTTATTAGGAAGTTGTTTGACCAGAGCGAAAAATATCACGAGTGAACTAAATACAACTAGTAAAGAAACTCTTAGATGTTTAAACATTTATGCAATAACTGTTAAAGGAGAGAATAAAAAGCACATTAACTTCAGATTAATTAACGTTTATTTAATTAAATAAGGCTTCCTTTTTCTTCTGCAGATTGGTGCGGCGAAAATGAACATTACGAGCATTGCGGTCCTAATTGTCCAGACACATGCAAAAATTATAAAGACGTTCATAAGCCGTGTCTCCGAAGATGCGTTAAAGGATGCTTTTGCAATGAAGGATATGTAAAGGCTGGAGATGGTAACTGCGTGAAGCCAGAAAATTGCCTCTCTTCTATAAAAAGTAAGTGTATAGTTTCCACAACCATAGCATAAACGTACGGTATTGTGCAACTATGGTAGAACGAAACCAGTTTTTCTTGTCTTCCAATTACGTGAAGGTATTCCAATTATGCAAGTAAAATAATGTATACCCGTTTAATTTGAATAACCACTAAGTTATTTATGTAATTTTGTAGAATTTGTTAGGGTTTAGAAGCAGGAAACACGAAGTTTTAACCATACCCTAGCTGCGATTGTAATTTTTGATATTTCTATTGCATTTCTTCGACTTCCCTAGCGTGCCTTCGTGGTGTAACGGTAGCACGCTGGGCCGGTATTCCAGAGGTCCGTGGTTCGATTCCCGGGGAAGCTTGTTAATTTTTCATCTTTCACTTCCAAAAACCTAGACTCTACAAGTGGTGCCCGATTAAAAGGGTTTATGATGATCTCCGCACCCGAATTTGGGACTAGTCCCTAAAACCCCTAGTCGCCCATTAAAAAGGGGAGTGTATAAGGTATTTCTCCCTAACGTGCCTTCGTGGTGTAACGGTAGCCCGCTGGGCCGGTATTCCAGAGGTCCGTGGTTCGATTCCCGGCGAAAACGGTTTCATATTTTTTCATCTGTCTTGCTTCCAAAAAATCCTAATGTCTCTACAAGCGGAACGTGCTGCCAGTTTCACATCCAGCACCATCTCTGTGGGGAGGGAGAAAATTCCTTATCTTTTCACCCACTTAAAGGAGAGAAGGCAAAGGAGCCACCATTCGCGAAATCAAGGTGGTGACGAATTATCATCCACCATATTTTAGTCGGGCACTGTTTGTATAGCAAAGCTTTCCGAAGCTGGAAACTATGAACGCGCCAGGATTCAGTGTCTTCCGATTGCCAGTCCAGTTATGCCACGAAAGCGCACAACGGAGAAGGTAGAAATTTCCTTTAATCTGGCTGAACAGAACAGTTCGCTAAAACGTAAATGATTTGTAAGACATTAGTTTGGATATAATCGTAGGTTATACTGCCTTTGGCATTAAATAAACTAATTTTACAAAAGCTGTTCCACTAATAGGGTTTTAATATTTCTCTTCCAACCTTTGCAAAAAGTATTTGTGCAGATAATTTAGGAGTATATGAAATCGCTCCTTAAAAGAAATCTCACAGGGATTCAATGTGAGTGTAGCGAACAGTGCAGGATTTGAACTCATTTGGAACACCAATGTGAATAAGGATGAATAAGATATATTTTTTATCCATATTCTGCATCAATTTTAAGCAAAAATCTTATTTCCTCAGCAGTAAAGTGCTCACAGTGCAAAAAACGTCTGCCATATGCGATACTGGTATCGATGTACTACAGATTATACCTGCCATTTATTCATGACTAGCATCTTCGCCGCCAGCTTTTAAATGCACCTGAAAAATGGCTGAAGGAAACACCAAACGTTAAATTTAAAAACTACGTAGAATTTTACTCTGCAAACTTCATAAAAAAAAGTTATTACGTATAAAAAAATTGCAATGAAATAAGCAATATCCTTTAATGCAAATATTAATTATCCTAATAAATAAATTAACAACTTCCCTTTGCAAAATCTTAAGAACTCAAATGGTATAAGAGGTTAAGAACTTTGTTTCCTAAAAAAAAAAATCACTCAAAACTTTCAGTATCTTAAAAGCACGAAAAAAAAAAAAAAAAAAAAAACAAAAAATACAAACATTCTGAAAGCAAAGTATATAATTAATGATATTTTATCTTCATTTTCAAGAGAAAAAAATTACAAGAAGCTTATCCCTTAATACAATATTATTATCCTAATTAAAAATAACCAACTTTCGTTGAAGAAAAAAAATCATGAAACTTTCATTCTTTAACATTGAATAACAAAAATAACATGAAGCAACTCAAAACATAAAATTCCGCCGCAAATTTCTTTAAGACACTTTATAAAAAAATCAATGAATGTATTATATTATATATTAAATGACAAGAAATATGCCAATCTCTAAAACAGTGACATAAAAAGATGAAACTTGGTTCCAAACCCATTTCTAAAAGATAAACTATTCCAAAATGAATGCAATTCAGCAAAATCTAACAACAACAAAAGACAGGAAATTTTTGCCAAAATCACATTTTTAAAGTGTGAATGTGAAGTGTAACACTCTTCATTTAAAATTTTTTAAAAAAATACAAGTATTATCATTTTTCACATCTTTCGTAAAGCATCGCAAGGATGAATTTACACGTCCAAATCAAGAAAAATAAGTTTTTCGAAAAATTCCGTTGAAAAGGTTTTAAATATCTAAGTGCCTACGTTTCATGACATGTTAAAAATGGAGTGTGTAAGTAAAACCTCGCTTTCCAAGCCATTCTGTCTCAATCTAAAATGACGTGATTTCGTCCAAATATAAATAAAAAATTCGAATTCGATTTCGAAAAAATCGTTTCGAAGTGCACTGCTCTGTCTAGAGCACCTATGTACAAATTTCGTATCCGTGGTATATAGCTTACGCGCAGCGCGAACGAAACACACCACACACACCAGCAGACTCCTTTTTTATTATAGAGAATTTTAATAACATATATATATATATATATATATTTGTTACTTTTGTTCCGGAAAACGATTGCACTTGGTGCCACCAAATTTGGAGCACATATAATCCTCTTCTCGAACAAGAGTACCTCGAAGCCCTAATCTTAGATTTCGAATTTGGTTTTTATTTATTTCATATTTTATGATGACATTTCGATAAAAACAATCTCGACGATTTAAAAGCATTGTATTACCATTCGGATAACGGTAAGATATTTATTCTTCAACTTAAATCAGAAAACTCAAAGATTTGGAAGAAATGTTCTGCAATGCATACCATACTTGTATTATTAATTAAATTCGGAACCTCAAAGATTTAACAGAAACACGTCACCACGACCCGAAAAAAATATTTTCATCTTCCACGCATCAGTGCGTTACTATGAAGGAAAGAAAGGCGGTCTAATTTTTCTTACAATTGAATCTATTTGTTATTGAATAACAAACTAAGCGATTTGAAGGCAATAAAAGCAATTTTTGAACTCTGCTATTATTAATTACAAGCTGGACTAGTGAAATGGTACCAGCTAAACTCATTATATCATTCAGCTCTAATTGCCGATACAATACGCTTGATAGATTAGATAGACCCAAAAGATAATTCATAGTTTAGATAGATCCGAGATGTTTGAAAAATTAAATGAAAGTTGTCAGCAAGTTGTGAAAATTGCATAACGAGAAGAAATTTCGACCTTTGAAGCAAGTTTTATTTTGCATTTTCATCAACGTAAACGTTGCACTTGACCGTTTATTTAATACCGCTGAGTGTGTGATAAGAATAGCTGCAATAATTTTCACATTAAGCCGAGTGCCCTCAGCTGAGTTAGGTATGTTAGAGAATTAGTGTACGCAAGACATGCACTAATTGTCTCTGACATTTGGTAGAAGCGATGTTTCGAGTTGTTTGTCGAGGTGCCTGTAAGGGTGTGTTTACTATGATTTTTGCTCTATACCATTGTTTAGATATAATACCGTATTTATATTTAAAAGATGCAAGGTCTGCCTTTCTTAGCATCCATAAAAAGTACGCTCAAGTGTTGTGTACTGCAACTGCTATAGATAAAATGAACGGAACTAATGAGTGAAAGTTAATTAATGAATTAGCTAATGAACGAAAATTCATCTTGTTCTAATGAAACTAGTAAGTAATACAGCCAGCAAAGTTGAAACGACTATAGTTATGAATATGTAATTTTCAAAATGACCTTTTTAAGTAAAGAACTATTTCCACACTTGAAATAGTTGTTTAGAGTGAACCATTTCCCCTTTTACGTATATAAATACAGCCTGAATAGAAAAATGCATTAATGGAATGTATAAAATAATGGAAGAATATTTTATTAAGTTAATTCATTTGAACTTGTATAAAAATTGTTGTTGTCGTGTCTACGATAAAGCCTATTCAAATAGTGCCATGGGCGAAGATGACAGCCCCTGAAATCTGCAATATATTATCCTCATGGAGTTTCGGTCTCTTTAACAAGATCTCAGTATTTCGTGATTCAGCAAGGACGACCGGACAATCAAAAATGTTTACAGTTGTCAGTTCTGTGTCCGGGAAGTTATCACAATACCTGTAGCTTTTTCCAACCTTCTCTATCAATTTTCATTCCTCTGTGATGGCCGTTTCTAAGTTTGCCTAGAGCCTAAATCTTCACTGGGGAGCCTGTAACCTCTAAAGAGCGCATCCCCTGGTGGCGGATGGAGAAATTCCTTCATTGGTTTTCCTTTCAGAAAGTAAATAAAATACCTTCCGCGGACCAGCACGCAGAAGCCCAACCTGTCGGGGAATGGCCCTCCTTTCTATGATGAATATAAATCAATAATTATTAGCAGTAATGAAACAAAAGTAGTAGCAAATGCAATTTGCAGCAATAACAGTATTAAGAATTTTGTAGATATGTTAGTAATTTTAGTGAAACTACATATAAATTGTAGTATATCTTGTATAATGTAACATAAAATGCCTCAGGATAGGAAGCATAGCCGGAAAAATATCATTACAAGGGAAGGTCCATTTACCTTGTCCAAGCTAATTTTTGTCTCCAAATTTGGAGAGAAATCGCAAAAAGTCGCCAAAGCTGGCGATTATTTGACGACGTGTTGGTCTGATTCCTGTGGAAGGGATCATTTTGTATTGCCTTCTATACGGCCCTATATAACTGCCTTCCAGCAATTTCGAAGCAATTTAGACATTTCTCAGCGAACATGGGAAAACTATGCATGACCGAAAAGAGCATTTAGTTTTCAGTTTACTTGAGAGATGAGTTCAGATTTTAGCTCGGAGTATTGAGAACACTGAGAGACCACTGTGCGAGCATGCGCATTTAAGGCGCCTTGTGTTCAACGGTCTTAGTAGCTTGAAGTGCCAACTACTGATGACGACGTGGTAATTACTATCATATCAAGAAGAGCTGTACGCATACTTTTGTATGAAAAGTTCCAGAACTATGAAGTGTTTTTGAAAAAATAAATTTATATCTTTGGTTTTGTGTGCATTCAATCCATTATGAACCCGTACGCTTGTAACAGTAGCAAATATAGAATCTATAGTAATAAAATCTATGAAATAGAACAAAAGAGAATGTACGTCGCCCAGACGGTATAGTGATTAGGGAAGCCTACTATGGCACCGAAGGGCCCGGAGAAGACATGGATGTCTGTAAATGTATAGTGTTGGTGCGGAATGGCGGCACTCTAAATATGCGGCTAGCCGAAAGTTCTCTCGTGAGGATTGGTGCAAGGGGAGACCTCGTATCCTCCCTCTACCCGGGGCGCTCTCCCTTAAAATTGGGGTTGGAAATCCTACCTCTTATCGGAGTTGGATCTGACAACCATTGTTCCATGTAATATGGACAAGACAACAACAACCCCAGAGAATGTATGGAATAGAATTTGTTACTATTATTATAATCTACAGAATGTATTACTGTTATGATTCTATTATAAGAATCATAATAGTAATAAAAATAGCAACAATAATAGCAGAAATAAATAAAAAATAATTCATTATGAAAACGATGTCAAGAAAAACAATTTTTTTTGCGTTACATCTCCAGTGTACCTGTAGTAACATTATTAAGAAGTCAATTTTTGAGGCATAAAATGAAGTTTTAGTGTTAGGTCTTATTATTCTACGCTATTATAACTAATATTTCCCCCCTCATTACTAGCTTTATGCCATAAAAACGAACATTATGAATATTGCGGTACTGGCTGTCCGTCTATCTGCGAGAATCAAGAAATAACACACAAGTCATGTTCCGAAAGATGTGTTGCTGGATGTTTTTGCAATAAAGGATATGTAAAAGCTGAAGACGGTCGTTGCATAAAAAACGAACATTGTGCCTTTCAAGAGGAGAGTAAGTTTACAATTTTCAAACTAATATTTATTATAAAGAGTGTTCGAAGATTTAAAGCTGATAAAAATAATATTTTGATCCTACGCATATTATGAATTACATTAATTCCTTTACTGTTGCAATAAATGTTACACAGATAGAAGCCAAACTATTAGAGATATCTCATAATTACATGTTGGTCCATTTTTAGATTTTATCGTAGCCAGTATTTTCAGAATATGGACTGAAAGAGGTAAGATATCATTCTCGAGGAATAGTAGCTCATGTTGTCACAATTTTCATGTTTTCTTCTTTAAAATATAACGTAATGTCTCCACAACCTTATTCTGATAGTATATATCATCTGCCTATAAAGCGCGTAACGGATTTTCCTGCTTTGCAGCGTTAACATAAGTATCACTGGTTTCCTGTTGTTAAAAACCCACCCATTGCAAAAGACCATTATATTGTACTTCATGATGTACCTGACTTTTATTAAATTGCAGTTTTCCGTGTTACTGCACATTTCTTGTTGCAGACGATTGATATCAAACGTCTTTCAACTCTTTCTTTCCTCAGAATTTTCTCACTAAAATTGTCCAAGTTACTTTTCTGAATATATACATTCTCTATGCGCGCGTGATACTGTTATGCGGGGTAAACCTAGAATATTAGCCATTTCATAGACACTAGAGCCGAATCGGTCTGCGAGCCGTCTTATTCAGAGGTACTGAAATTTTCAATCTTACTCATTTTTACAATGACTGCAGTGATAACTATTTTTCTCAAGATTAGAGTGCTTTATAAAAGCCGTCTCTGGATGTTACGTCACTGTATGTCACAAACAGACCTAGGCATCTTCATAAACTGATGCCTCTAAGAATTTGACAAATCGTTGCATATTTCAGTTCGATGTGAGTGTTTCAGAAATTGAAGTGGCTGTTGTCTTAGTAACACTAAGCGAAGCGAGCATTTGCTGAAAGTGAAATAAGATTGACTTTGATATATGTTACAATGCAAATCATCACTGCATTTTCTTCAAAATTTAGAAAACAATTACGGCTGAAGGAAGGCGTAACAAGGGGCCTATACGGAACTAAATCCTTTAAAACACTCTTTTTGAAGAACGGATTTTCGAAATTTAAGTAGGACTTATGAAAACTTTGACATGTTAAGTCACGTATTCAGGAAGTTTTACAGCAGTCTCCAGAGGCTTCATATCGTGGAGTCGAAAATAGCGCAATTAAACTTGAGAGAATGCAAATTTTATAAATATAAGTAATAAAAACTGAGAGAATCAGTCTTTCAAAATTTCATGGGACAATGAACACGGACAAAACGGAACGGATATATCAACATAAGTATTTAACTTCTGTGAAGTACTTGTGTTGGATATTAATTAATTTTACTGCCCACTCCTGCGAATTAAGGCAACTGTGGGAAACCTGTTTTCTCCCTTTCTGTCGGGGAGAGACTTCCTCCGTATCAGGCGGGAGGAAGAGGTTGAGCGGACCGGTCGTTATTGGCTCGTAAGTGGTTTTGTATCCACGTGAACACTTGGTTTTTGCCCCTCCGTTTGTGTTGGATACAGTAAGACCCCGCTTAACGCGGGGGATACGTTCCATCAAAGTAGAGCGTAATGCGAAACAGCGCTAAACGAGGCTATCTTTACATGTAAATATTGGGGTTAGGGGAAGATGGCTAGGAAATTCGTTAGGTATTAAATTTAAAAAGTATGTTTTTTTAATAAAAATAAAACGAAACATTTATTTCTTAAAGCCCAAATTAATACCACATTATTATTTCTTGCAAAAATAAAAACAAAATATAAATAACAAAACGAATATTCTTAAAAAAAAAAAAAAAAAAAAATTCTCAGTCATATTTAGTTAGCCTTCCGCGTTTTCAGTGTTCTGCCTTTTTGTGACAAAAGCATCTAATGTCGTTTGCCTTTTTCTTTTGCGTTGAAAGTTCTTCATAAACGGATAGAGCATCTCTAACACCACGCCTTACTTTTGAGCTCCTGTCAAAATTCGGATCATTTTCAATGAATCGATCCATTATTTCAGTTATGGTAGACAAACTCCTTTTTACAAACGCCATCGAAAGTTCTTTTTGCTCTTCTTCTGAATCACTGCTGTCAACATTTTTGTTTTCTTCTTGTTCAGTTAATTCCTCGAGCTCATCATTAGAAAGACTAGCCGCTGCTTCTTGAATTATTTCTTCCACATTTACCCCTTCAAAATATGTCTGTACCAAACAAGAAATACAAGTACACTCTTTCGGATATGTATTTGAAACCTATCGCTGCATAATATTTCGGGGAATCCCCGTATGCTGCGAGCGATTTCGTGGAATCCCCGGGTTGAAATAAAAGAGCGCTAAACCGAAACAGCGCTAAACGAAACAGCGTTAAGCGGGGTCTTACTGTATATTCATTCTGTTCCGACAATTGTTGCAATACAATAACTATAGAAAATATCTAACTGTATTTACGAGTTATCACCCGTCGCAACTGTTCTCACTGGCTGTTAGCACACCAGACAATTCCATATTTAAAATCAACATATTGGTTTTAGCCATTCCTGGTGATTTTACAAACTTAAAATACAAACTGTAAACTAAAGCGATGACAGTTTAATATGCTCAAAATTACAATATGACGTTACTTGCTCTGTAGATAAGTGATAAGTGACGCAGGACGTGGGCACTGTACCTTAATGGTTAATCAGTACAGCACCACGTCCGCCATTATACAGAGCCGCCGATGGGGTTCGCTGCCATTCAACTGCCCGGGGCCCAGTGTTTGTTGATATCTGAGAAAAATATAAGTGCATGGCCATACATTCGCTCAACTTGTTCTTACTTTCCATGAGATTATCTAATTTCCTAGAAACAACTTGGCCCATCAGCGGCCGAGCGGTAAAGTCGCTGAACACTGGTAGTTCGGTCCGAGGTTCGATTCGAATCCCGCAAACGGGCTGGCTTCATGGGCGTTTTCGTGGTTTTCCCCATGTGTAACATGTATACGAGCCGTTTCGCCGTTTCTTGGCCGCCGTTTCTTGGCCTTCTCTTCTTTCCTCCTTGCGTAATATTGGTATTAGCTCAAATAGTTTCGGACTCATTAGGGATTTTTTCAATGATATGATTATAATCTATAAACCGAATAACATGATTGAAATTAAAAGAAGTATCTTCAAGGGTTGTCCACAAGGTAGTGTAGTGCTCCACTGTTCTGAGGCCTCATAGTCGATAAATTTTTAAAGACAGAATTTGATTCGGGGGTCGATGTGGCTGCTTATGCGGACGATTTGGTTTTCCTAATTACAGCTGAACCGTTAGAAAAAGTTGAAAATAAATTTAATAACATTATGAAAATGTTTAATCAATGGTGCTCTGAGGAGCAAATGAAATCAAATGCTGCCAAAACTAAATTTTTGTTTTTTCCTAAGTCCGATCGCCACACTCGGCCCCCTAGATTAAGAATTAACGGTGAAATTTTGAAAAATCAATCAAAAATTTAAATATTTAGGTGTTTATTTGGATTCAAAACTCAATTTTAATTATCATCTCAATTATATTCAAAAACGAACTGATTTAATTTAAAATTTTTACAAAAAGAAATTACCACCCATCCAATATCTTGAATAAAAGAACGATATTTAAAGACTTCTTTATAATAATGTTTTTATAATACCCATTGTTATGTATGGAATTACGGCTTGGGTTCGCAGGGGCAGGGGAGTTACTACACTTACGTACGAAACTCAATTCCATTTAGCGGAGCTGGCTTCTTCGCGCTCACCCGTTGTTTCTACACAGTCTCGAGGGAGGTGGTTTTGCGTCCTGGCGGGCACTCCGCCTCTCTCGATAATCTACAAGTTTTATTATGATAAAACTATATTAAGAAACAATATTTCGGATTTATTTAACTATGATGAAATCCCAGTTTTTGCTGACTCATTTTCTGTCTTTAATTTACATGTGATCCATCCGACAAACCGTATTTCTATCAATTATAATATTTATGATCCTTGTTTAACGGGATACCAAATTTTTACTGATGGATCGGGTTATGAGGGCGGGGTAGGTTCGGCTTTTTTTGTATATTATTTTGATACTGAGATCTATCACTATAAATTGGGCCTTGAAAAATATAATTCTGTTTATCAAGCCGAGCTCATCGCCGTCCTCTATGCCCTTAAATGGATATTGAAAAGTAATTTTGCAAGAAATTCTAACTTCAATATTTGTACAGATTGCATGGCTTGTTTAAAGGCACTTTATAGTGCAGAAAGTAATAATGGTCTGATTATCGATATTAAAGATCTTTTCCAAAAACTATCCTTATCCTTTAATATTAAGTTTGGTTGGGTTAAAGCTCATATCGGAATATACGGTAATGAAAGAGCGGATGTGTTCGCAAAAGAGGCTGCCATAGGGAGTGTTTCGGGGACGCCTTATGTTCAGGGTTAAAAAAAAATAGCAACTAAAGTTATTTTATTCGTTTTATTTTTAAGCAATGGCAGTTACAATGGAATTTTTCTGAAAGGAAAAAGTCGCTATTTTTAAACATTTAGAACTGATTAGAAAAAAAAATTATCTTTAATGATTTTGAAGTTAACCAGTTTCTGACCGGACATGGGCGTTTCCCGGGATACTTCGCTAGGTTTAAGATACAGAACGACGATAAATGTAAACTATGTGATCTGTTTGGAGATGCTAAGCATTTCCTCGAGGTCTGTCCCTACTTTGATGGCTTAAGAAACAATAAAAATATTGATTTTGAAAATCCCTTTTTATGCTATAAAGATTTCGCATAATCATGTAAATCTGTGGTGAAATTTATTGACGGTGAGCGCCGGGCAGTGGGAATCAGTGTATGATTTTTGCATTTTATTGCCATCACTAATTGGTATATTTTAACAATTTGTTATTACCATTGTTTGTGATTGTTATTCGCTTTTTTTGTTTTTGTCTTTAGTGTCTGCTCTTGTCTAAATGTTTGTATTTGTTCCTTT